TGCCCAAAATCAAGTTCCCGGCTGGAGTTTTTGTTCACGTCAACGAGAAAGGGTGGATGGACGAACAAGGAATAAAGTTATGGATTGATCATATATGGTGTAGGCGACCTGGTGGCTTTCGAAAACAGCGTAGCCTCTTAGTATGGGATATGTTCGCGAGTCATTTAACAGAGGGAACAAAAACCAACATGGCGAGGAACAACAGTGACATTGCAGTTATTCCTGGTGGATTAACTTCAGTTTTACAACCACTTGATGTTTGTCTAAACAAACCATTCAAGGACTGCGTTCGTGAACAATGGAACAAATGGATGAACAGCGGCAAAAAGTCTTACACGAAAGGTGGGAATATGCGTGCTCCCGAACTGGATGTACTGTGTGATTTTGTTATCAAGGCATGGAATGATATTAATGTGGAGACAGTTATCAAGTCTTTTAAAAAGTGCGGAATATCTAATTCAATGGATGGCATGGAGGATGACATGTTGTGGGAGGACGAGGATGAAACAGAAGCCGAAGCCACGTCATCTGATTTGGAATTTGATCCTTATGATGAAGCAGCCATAAATGTATCTCAGGATGTACTTGAAGAACTTATGATGTCAGATGTTGATGATGTGGATTTTGAAGGTTTTTAATACATGATGACGTCAGTAATAATCATGTGCTAATAACATTTTTAACTTGACGGTAATTTGCTTTTAAAATATTGTGACTTAGTAAATTAAATGTGTGCATGTGTATGTATGTATACATACAGTATATATAAATATGTTTGTGTAATAAATGTATGTAGTAAGTACGTAATATTTTTTCACTCAAATCCTTATGAAACACTACTGGAGAACATTCCTTTGTCGCAAAACAGTTTATAAATTAAAGAAAATAATTACAGTGTGTTTAATATATTACAGTATATTATAAATAAATAAATAAAACAAATAATTCGGTAAATCTATTTAAAGTAAATGGAAAATAAGCAAACATGTTATTTACCAAGACCCTTCCGTCTGGCTCAGGGTGAGATGTAGGGGAGATAAAGAAGGCTATTTATAGCCCATCAGAAGTGACCAGTACCCTAATGCACCATAAATAATTCATTGAACATTCATTTTTTGTATATATATATATATATATATATATATATATATATATATATATATATATATATATATATATATATATACCGTATATACCCGTGTATAGCACGAGTTCTTAAGACCAAATTTTTGGGCAAAAAGTTGGGGGTCGACCTCTATACGGGTAATAGTTTCGTTAGGTTGAAAAAAATTTACCAGTAACTACCAGTAAACAATGGAAACGATGCACCAACGCACCACCCGCTGTGAGTGTCGGTACAGTTGCCAGGGCAGATCTCTTGCGTCATCATAGCAAGCCCAAAGTAGCCAAATGCATGTTATGGTATGCACAGGAGTATGTAAAACATAAAGTATTCATTTTTAAAAGTGTATTTATAGATACATAAATTTTTGTTAATTAAATTTGAAACATCAATATGATGTGAGTCAGGTCATCTACACACAGTTGCCAGTTTCAAAATTTTCCTTTTAAAATTTTAAGTTACCGAGTATTTCTTTTCCCAAATCGTTTTACAATACTGTAGGTAAAACAGTATACTATTGTGCAAACCCCACAGAAAAAAATTAACAAATGGAGACACCAAAAATGTAAAAAAAAAAAATGCTGTCTGACTTGCAACACTGTTGGTAGGGTCAGGTGGTTCTAACGGTACCTGCCAGGACCCGGTAATCAAATTTATAACAATATCTAACCTCAATTACTGTAGTTTATCTGATGTAGGCAATATGAAGTAAAAAATACCAGTTAAAGTGAGAAATTGGAAGAGAATAAACAAGAAAGATGTTGGGCTATTTTTGGTAGGGCTGAGGGAGAGAGTACCAGCTGTTTGGTCTTTTTTGGCGGGAGAGTCACGCAAATATCCGTACTAGTATTTGTTTGGTGTCTTCTGTATTTTTAAAAATGAATACTTCTAAATTAAAAGTACCGTAACATTGTATTATATAAAAACTTGTCATATTTCTGGAAAATAAGAAGCAAGAAAATAAGAATACACCGGTAAACACAATTTCAACGTACGCTAAAATTAAAAGCTGCTTAAGAAGGGCCGATGCAAACACAAAGCCTCCACGACCAGGGCTCTGCCGTATCAGCTAGACGGTACACGTGTTTTTCGAATCTTTTCAGTTAAAAAACTTTTACATCACAAGTGAATTAGGATAGAATATTATTGTAATATAACAGTTTTTAACTGAAAACCATTCAAAAGGCGATTACGGTAACATCTTGTGAACGAAAGAAAGCGAGTCATTGTTTTTGTCACGATTTTATCCCACTTTCCACTATAATACGTACGTCATTTCAGCAAAAATATTACATTTCCATATTCTCAGAAATAAATAGTAGTTTTGCTGAAACGTGATGTATTTCAATGTAAATTAGGATAAACTACATGCAGAAAACAAAAGACTTTACCTAACCTTCCGATGTTCAAGATATGTTACTCGTATTTTTAATAGTTTTCGGTTAAAATACTGTTATATTAGTGATATTCTATTCATACTGTGGTTGATATAATACCTTCACGGAAATGTAATATTTTTTGCTGAAATGACATACGTATTACAGTGGAAAGTGGGATAAAATTGTGATGAAAACAATGACTTTCGCTTTGTTTCGTTCAAAAGATGTTACCGTAATCACTTTTCGAATGGTTTAGTTAAAAACTGTTGTATTGTATTACAATAATATCCTAATTGACTTGAATAAATATTACGATACCATATTTCTGAATATTTTCATTAAAATTCATCAAAATCATTTTCCTTGTCATCGTCTGCAGCACCAAACAGCTTCTCCCAGTCCTCTCCTTGAACAGGGCTAGAGGGTACACGTGTTTTTCGAATCGTTTTCAGTTAAAAAACTATTACATCACACGTATATTTTACCTAAACTGTGCCTGAATGAATATATTCTCGGAAATAAATAGTAGTTTTGCTGAAACGTGATGTATTTCAATGTAAAATAGGATAAAATACATGTCGAAAACAAAAGACTTTACCTAAGCTTCCGATGTTCTTGAGATGTTATTCGTTTTTTTAATAGTTTTCGGTTAAAATTCTGTTATATTACAATGATATTCTATTCATACTGTGCTTGATATAATACATTCACGGAAATGTAATATTTTTTCCTGAAATTACGTACGTATTACAGTGGAAAGTGGGATAAAATCGTGACGAAAACAATGACTTTCGCTTTCTTTCGTTCAAAAGATGTTACCGTAATCGCTTTTCGAATGGTTTAGTTAAAAAACTGTTGTATTACAATAATATTCCCTCCTAATTGACTTGAATAAATACTTGAATGGAAATATACAATATTTTTGTTGAAACTACCTGCGTTTCAGTGTAAAGTGTCGTAATAATAAATGGTAAACAAGTTTATAGGACGTAGAGTTTTTCTGAAGGTTTTGTTGTTCCATTACCCTCAAAATCTTGGGTCGACCTATAAACGAGGAATATCATAAATTAACGATTTCTTGGTCATAAAATCGGGGTCGACCTATATACGAAGGGGGGTTATAGACGAGTATATACGGTATATATATATATATATATATATATATATATATATATATATATATATATATATATATATATATATATATATATATATATATATATATATATATATATATATATATATATATATTTGTGTAATAAATGTATGTAGTAAGTACATACTGGTAACCTTTTTCACTCAAATCCTAATGAAACACCACAATTAGAATACGGTGGTTGCTGTTGAACTACATGTTGTATAAATAGTCGGAACACAGCCACACCACCGAGACGAGGGAACACTCCCACCACCGATCGTCTCGTGTGAAGCAAGCGTATAAATGAAAGAAAATACTTGTAGTGTGTTTAATATGTTACAGTATATTATAAATAAATAAATAAGTAAACAAATAAATCGGTAAATCCATTTCAAGTAAATGGAAAAATTTTACTCGATACCGACATTAGTTCCAGTTATCGGTAAATAGCAGACGCTTCAGTGACGTCACTAGTATTTACACTACACCAGCGGGTATAATTTGATGACATTACTTGAAGTGAATTGGCCTTATTTTAAAAAATCAAGGATGGTTGGTAAAGGACTACTGAGTCCGTGGTTAAGTGTCACATTTGGGGTACTGGTCTTATACAGCAAATAGAGCTCAAAAGCTACTTTTTAAATGGAAATTTGGGGGGGGCGTCTTATGCACCCCGCCGCCTTATAGGCCGTGATATACGGTAATGGATTCGGTTAATGAACGACTCCATGGAACGAATTGTGTTCGTTAACAGAGGAACCACTTGTATATTACATAAAGAGTAAATGAAGAGAAACTGGACAACCAGACAACTGGCTGTGTGAGTAACCAGTCTTATTTACCTAATGGTCACCCTACTGGAGGTAACCATTCTAAGGGAAGGAGGCCAGTGGCCTGTGTACAATTCCTCCATTATTCTTGATAATTTTGTCAAGGGATACATACTTTGAAGCCCAGTACTCTTCTTAATTTCACAGCTTGGGCTCGCCAACCATTTCACAAATCTACCACCCCGTGTCACTTGTTTTCATGTGAGTTTAGGAAAATAATGACAAATTGAAAGCTTCTTTGTAGACTTAATAACATTATGGTATTTGAAAATTATGAAATAGTGAAATAAGTAAGAACACTGGTACAAAAAAAGCATACGTTGAACATATTTCTTTTTATTAATGTACTCGAGTAATGATTTTTAATCAATATTTTGGGTTTTTTATGCATAAATCAAAGTATGGGGCCTTTTTTGTGGCAGGGGGAGACTGGGAATTTTCATCAATCAAACCCGAGCAAATCGAGGTCTGCCTGTACAGTATTTAATTCAAAATATGATATACGTAAGAGAATTGTTTGTATTAACTACTTACTGTAATTCTAAAATACAAATAAAACCTCATTATAGTTGTAAAGCTCTCAGGCACAAATACCGTATATATATATATACCCTGTACAGACCCAAGTACTGCACAGTACATGATATGGCCACCCAGATGCCTGTACCTTGATCTTAATCACCTAGTTCTTAATATGATTACTGTTCTTGAGAAAATATCTGTGGAAAGTTAAATAAACAGTACCAATAAAATTAGCTTTATGTAGTTCTAGGTACAATATAATAAATATATTATGAGATGGGGTCAATTGAAGGAACATTCATCTTAAACTAGATTTCACATTTCCAATCCCACACACTGCATTTACCTTCAACCATTTGCAGTCGATGTTGTAAAGAACACGATGAGAGAGCGTTCCACATGTAGAGGAGCTCATAGGCACGTAGGAGACAATAGTTCTTGGTTAAAGTATCACCCTTGGACTGAAATTCATAATAATTAAATAATTACTTTTATAAACCCCGGTAGTACAGGTACACTTATCACAATAAGAAACTCTGGCAACCAAAACCCAAAGTTCATTGTAATTTTGAAGGCAATACAGACAAGAATACTTATACCTGTAGTAGTACCAATTATTCTTCCTTATTTTTTTTGCTATTCATACACAAGCCTTTTACTGTCATGATGCCAAGAGACTTAAACATGTGCTGACCCCATAACAATTCTCATTCAGCAGCTAGTGTATCGGCAAGATATTTGACCTCCAAAGGATTTTTCCATCATTACCAAATACAGTAGGCTCTCACCAATAACGACTTCCACAATAACGTTTTCGACAATAACGGTAAGTTACAATAGATACCCATTTTCGATAATAACATCTGGATTCTCTTGAATAACGGAAATTTCGCGGGAAGCGTCCGAGCGCATCAATGAGAGCGCTTGTTTGCCGCCATGTTGATGACGTAGTTGTCCGCTCCGCCTCACTCTCACACACGCTCAGTGGAATACAACGCTGCGCCCACGTGTGAGATTTTAGCCTCTATAACCAGTGGTTGTTAGGGTCGGTGATCAATAATGGCTTCCGCATTTTTGCCTGTGGGGGCTAGGGGAGGTGGTGGAGGGAGTGATTTGCCACCTGAATGACTGGGAACTTTTAAAGTGAGGAAATTGAACTGTCCTGAGTCTACAGTGCGAAATATTAAGAGGAACTTAGCGGAGACCAAGAAGAGTATTGCGCAGGCTAAAAATATTTCGGTAGTGATGGAAATGCGAGGCGAGCTATGAATGATAAAGGCAATAGAAACAGGTTGTTAGTGATAACAGAGCAAATTCTTGTGAAATGGTTAGCTTATAGAATGAAAGACAGTGCAAGTGTTAGCGGCCCTCAGATACGGAACAAACATCACACCAAGCACCTCAAAAACTCCCCCAAGCTAAGTGTTATATTACTCACTCTTTATTTTGATGATTGAATAGCAATTCTTTTTATTTCAGCTAACAAAAAGTGTTAGGAGGACTTCAAGGGGAAAAAATGGGTGAAATTCTTGTGGCAGCAGCACCAATAAACCCTATTTACATGTATTTTAATGTCACACAAATAACGTTTTCGCTAATAATGGTGTTTTTCAGGCACCTATTAAACGTTATTGGTGAGAGCCTACTGTACTGTAGTGCAGTACAGTACACCCAACAATGTACAGTACTGTACATATTTGGTGTTAAGCATGAAAGTCTAATGAACAGTCCCAGACGAAAGTTCTTGATAGAGTCAAGGTGGAGGGTGCAAGTCCACTTCACCCCACCCTTAATGGAGGGCGGGTCGCTGCCAGTTATGCCACTCGTGAAAAAAAGAAAGAAAATCTTACCAGATTCGTGTCTGAATCTTTCCATATTGCTAAAAAATAAAAAAATGAGGTATGACAAAATTATATTCAATTACAATTATAAAAAAAATAAAAATAATTGATTCTAATTAAAAGAGACAATTGGTGTTCTGCATTACAAAACAAAACAAAAAATCTATTCACTGGGCAGTTTGAGATGAGACTAAACTAAAGTTCTACCAGAATATATCAAAGCAGAGACTTTACTTAATATCTAAACAAGTAGACCTGTTGTACTGTAGTAATAGTTTAGTGTAGGCTACTTAGTAATTAATTTTAGTTGTTGCTTCTACACTGCAGTAACTATAGTAATATATTTAACATTTCTTTCAAAATATAAGAAGGAAAATTCACATATCTTTAAGGTGCAAAATTGGCAAATCATGGGTCCAGGGGTGTCAAATTACTTAACAAACTAAGTACCAAAAGAACATTGTCATATCTAAGTTAACTGTTATTCATAAATATAAAAACAGAAAATTAATTAAAAAACATTTTATATAAATTTTTCAAAGCATGGAAGGTTTTCAAAAATTTTGTTCAAGCTTTCAAGGTTTGAGTAAAATTTTCAAGATAGAGCAAAAAATTTCAAGCAGTGGCCCCACTGGTCGCTGTCAGGTCACTGTCCCCAACACACACACAACAAGCTCCCAAGCAGTTCAACAATCGAGCTCTGATACTTCCATTTCTCAATAAGGATTGGGAAGTATGTCATTGGTTTGTTAATAAGTTAATTAACAGAGTGAGAATACTACAGGGGTAGACCGGAGCTGGTGTGAGACCTTGTGGAATCCAAGCCAAACAGGCTACTCTGAAAAGCAAGGAGATGGACTGGCTACTGACCGAATAATTTGGGTGACAATAACGTGCTATGTATAATTTCTGTAATCTAAAGAATAAAAGTGTTTGATTTTTTTTTTACTGTAAATATTTATAAAGATATTGAGTTTATATAACATTAGCTTGGCAACATTTATGATTATTTATATGAGTACAGGTATAACTAATAATAAAATATGGTCATGCTGCTTTTACCATATTTTTCTCTCCAACCCTAATCAAAGGTGTTGTGACCTACTTCTAGCTCAGATACTTTTATATTACTCATATGTCATCATGTCATCCATGATAGGGATCAAGCCAAGGTTACATGTAGTAGACCCTATGATAAGGCCATATTATCCCCCATATTCATGCTTCGTATACTAAGTACCATTCTGAGGGACAATACAGCTTGGAGGATTCTGATATTGTGAACTCTCAGCCAACAAAACAATTTCTACTATGTCATGATTATCTAATAATGATGTAACCTATTATATTAAATAATGTAAAACTTGATTGGTTAAATTGTTTCATGAGTTTATTAAACAAAAGAATGACATCATTTCCCAATCCTCATTGAGAAATAGAAATATCAGAGCTTGATTGTTGAACGGCGAGTGCATGTTTGTGTGTTGGAAAGGGAATCAAATCTAAGAACCTTTCCTTGCAAAACAAGTGTTCAATCAATAAGCTATAGATTCACTTTTATATAAACTACTGTACATAACAACAGAAGTGTCATATATAAATACTTTAGTTTAATCTTACAGTATTATGTTCCATGAGTTCAACTTACTAATACATTATATACTACATTATATACTACATCATTCAAACAATGTAAAGTTACAGCTAACACCTAAAACTTCTTAATATTTCACCCTCCTATTCTGGGTTCTAATAGATCTGAGTAATCTTTCCTCAATTTTATCCTTACCCTGAGTGCTCGTCGCATCAAGAATGCCTCCAGAGCATGACTGGATCGGCGGACGAGAGTCGGGACTTCATTCATCCCTTTTGCACAATCTTCTAGTCTGCCAGATGCCCCTAAACACACTGAGGAAAGTAAATCTACTGTTATACAGATATACCTTACTAACTATTACCTTGTTAGTCATCATTTTGCATATACAGTACTGTACATGCTGAAGTATTATAGAAAAAATAACACTTTGCCTAATCCCTCTGCTACAGTCACACCAGAATTTTAAAAGTTACACACATTAATAGTTCCTCCATGCATATTTTATTAAAAAATTATTATTACTTTTCATAAATTACTATACTTTCAATACAAACCCACCAAACATTAAAGCCACTTAAATAAAAAGTCTTAACACTGCATACTGGCAACATGTAGTGTACAGCCACACCGAGCTTACATAGGGTATAGGGGTCCCCGGGTTACGAAAGTGTTCTGTTCCTGAGAACTTACAGAACAATGTTTAAAATCCCGCTATATCATAGCCTAAGTCCTTATATACTGTATATCTAAAATCACTTAATTAAAAGAAAAGAAGAAATAGAATGACTAAATGCAGTAGTACAGGTAGTAGGCAGCTACCAAACAGGGAGGTACTACCACCTGGGAAGATATTGGAAGCATAATGTGTTGTCTAATGGTAGACCCTACTGCCATATGGCATCACAAAAATTGTGACCTAGTCCCAGGTTGCTGATCTGACTTTCTGCCTCATTTACACACAATTGCAGGGTCTCAATTGTTTCTCTTACTTTGACAACACAACATACATACAGTATATCATTTCTCACTATTAATTTTTTTTTTCATTTTTGTATTTCTTTATGGTTCTTTACTATCATTATTATTATCAGTGTTGCTATTATTATTTAATTTTTTATTATAAATTATATTTACTATGAACTAATTATTATTATTATTATTACATTTTCGACCCTCAGGCCCCGATGTGGGTCAGTGACATGTGCCAGAGTGGGCTAATCCTGAGAGGAAAAAAAAAAAAAAAAGTAAATGAAAGTAAAAATTAAGTCATCAGGTTAATAAAATACTGTAAATTTAAAGTTTAACCTTGTTCGTATTGGCGGGCGTTTGTAAGTCAGGGACCCCCTGCACGCACCAATACATTTCATTAAAAATCTTAAATATACAGCTGCCTCTTGAATTATGCAAATTTAATTTTGAAATAATGCTGGTGTTAACATTTGTACCATTTTTTAATATATACCCACCAAAAAAGTCAATGCAGGCTGGCAGCTTAGTTAAGCAAGCATTGCCATCGAGGAACAAAATTTGTGGCGTGAAGCGAGATGTACACACGCCGTACTGTAGCATCCAGTAACCATGGTCGGAGTGAGTGATAATTTTTCTCGTGATTGTTCTTGTGGTGTTTTGAATTGTGTGTAACTTTCAGCCCGTATTATGACTTACAAACATCCATCTACATCCAAAGGTGTCACCCAACCCAAGCAGCAGCAAAAGACCATCACTATTGGTGTTAAATTACACATAATAAGCCATAATGAGAGAGAACCATAGCTGATACGGGTCAAGCGGTTGGCCTTAGTGAGAGAACCGTCCAGACAATATGTGACAATGCCACCAAAATTAAGGAAGATGCTAAGTCTGAAACTTCAGTGAGTACCACAAAGACTTTGTATGTACAAATTCCATTATAGAGAAGATGGAGTATATACAAACTGACCAGATTTATATAAAAGTACCTTACTATGTTTTAAGCTCATGTGCTCTTGTTTCATCATTTGTGTTTTATGGCCATTTCCCACAATTGCAGGAGTAAGTGCTTATTAGAGGCAATTCTGGGAATAAAAAAAAAAGACTGAGGGGGGACGGGGGTGCTCTGGGACATACCTCAATAACATGGGTTTCTATGAAAACTTAATGTTTGGTTAACATACATCTGGTTAAAGTAAGGGCTTTCAGGAGTGCATCATATGAGGTGTCGCCTAAAGCAGGGGCATAAGTGCCAAATGTGCGAATTTGAGACAAGGGGTTTCCTATTTTCAATTCTCTCGATTGGTATATGTACTGTACTTACACCCATAGCTTACAGCATTGTATGTGACAGCTGCACGTGTGTGGACCCTTGTGTCTACAAGTGGGGATTTGATTGATTGATTGTGGTAATTACATCCCTGGCACTGCAACAGCTTTGGTCATGTCACCGAATTAAAATAAGGGCTTAAAATACTAAAATCAAATAATACAAGGTAAAAAAGTCACAAATAACACAGAACTTTCGTAATAAAATAAAGTAAACATTAATAGATAAAACTCAAAGCTTGTGTAGGACGGCTTCTTCCACGAAGGAGAGGATGTCCTCTTCCACACTACCCCCCCAAGCACCAAAGAGAGACGGTAAAACCGATCTCCCACCCAGCATTGGAAGAGGTGCTTACCACGAAGATCTCTGAAACTGGGACACTCCACCAGGAGATGTCAAACAGTCAATGGGACCAGGCAGTTGTCACAATGAAGAGAGAGTGCCCTCTCAATTAAAAAACCATGAGTCAGCTATGTGTGCCCAATATGGAGGTGGGCCAAAGCAGTCTCCAGGTGGTGCGACAGTCCCTGACATCCCCAAGCACCCAATGCAGGATGGATTTCGCAGAGCTTGTTTGCTCCAACAGCATCCCACCTATGTTGCCAACTCGAGCAGATGGCAGCTCTCATTACTGGCTTCATATCAGAGGCAGGAATGATGTGCCAAAGGGTGAGAAGCAGCTGCTTTTGCCACAGCATCAGCACGCTCATTTCCCTTCTCCCCCACATGGGATGGGATCCAGCAAAAACCGACTTTCCGGCCCCGACGATGGATGAGAAACAGCCACTGTAAAATATCTATAACTAAGGAATGTTTTGAGAAGATCAAAGAAGCATACATCAAAATAGTGTTTGATGATTTTTGGAAACCAGGCAACTACAATCTACAGAATGCCTATCTCCACAAGGCAGAGCACTGACTGCATACATTAGTCATGAGCCTCGGTCTCCACATCTACTTCATCAACCTACCAGCAGATAAATAGGCATAGAAGCTCTTGGACCACCTGGACTCCTTTTTGAGGTTAGCAAAGGCACCTTGGGCATGACTCCAGTTCAGCTGCAGCAGGTGGCACCATGCAACCTCATGCAGAGCCAGCAGCTGCAGTTCCCTCTGGGGTGAAACCTGCAGAGCACCACGGTATGACATCAGGGCTCCACCAATGTCACCCTGAGAAAATATATCATCACATTAGCTCTCTTCATTAAATATAGAATTACAGCTGGATTTACACCATCAGTTACTCTACCAGGTAGTACTGTACCTCTATTCACCACAGCATTATACAGTACAGTACAATATTTCTAAATATATTAGAAACATATACAGTATAGTGGGGTCACAATAATTCGCGAAACACAAATTTACGTTGAATTCTTCAGAAACTACTTCAATTTGAGGACACAGTCAATAATCTAAATGTTTGGGGGAGCTTTCACATAATGTACACTATCTCACCTAAATATTGGAAGACACTCAATACCAATGAATGTTGTGTTCACTGTCATCTTATATAAATTAAGGTCTAAGGGATTTACCTGAAGTCGGTGAACTCTACCCCGAAAGAAGAGAAATAGGGCAGACTGTGCATAATTCTGCTGGGCCTCTTGCAAAAGGAGATGAGCTGCCTCAACCCCTGCCCGCACCTTGCTACCATCTAGAGCAAAGAACGGGCGGACGATGGTGTGATACCAGAGTAAGGTCAACCTGTTGAGTAGTGACCATTAATATCACTTGAAAAACAGTTTTTAAGACGGTTATTACACACAATAGCAAAGTGTTCGCTTGAATAAGAACAAATTTGTTCACACAAGTTTTCTATAGAAATAATCCAAATTTGATTTAATATGAAGTGACATTCCAATGTCTTGAGTGGAAGTTCAATCACCATACCACTGCTAAAACACAATATTTCTAACCATATCATCTGCTGTCTAGCTACTGCATTATCAAATGTACCTGATGTAGTCTCGCTATGCAGTGTGTGCTCAACAAAACTTCCTACACTGTACCCAGTGCCTCAACACATTCACTTACCACATATACCCACCGATACTTCATTTTTCATATTTTATAGTTTTATATTATATTTTGTTTATTTCTAAGCCACATTGTAGTATAGTATTGTAATGACTTTTCCACAGCTTTTATGATTTCATTACAAGTAACATGTAGTTATTAGCCAAGGCCTTGGCTATTACTGCCTCCACAAATGCCAACGTCTCACACATACACACCATGCTCTTCATTATTCTTGTTTTATATTATATTTTCTTTATATCTAAGCACATCAGAGTATCGTAATGATTTTATACAACTTTTATAGTTTCATTACAAGTTAACAACAAATGAGGCTGCAGCTGCTGTACAGTACTTTGTAACTTGTCAAAAATTTAAATTTTCTCTACTAATGTCATCACTTTACAGTTTCTCTTTACTCCACCATCACTTGGAGATAATGATAATTAGGAGCCATATTGCTTATTGATTTTTTCCCCCGAAAACAGTAAAAAGAGCAAAATGTATATCAACATGGACAGCACAGCTCTTCTCCTGACTACAGCTTACAAGAGACTGAGGCTGAGGGAGACAGTTCGGGAGATGTGAGAGGGAGCCGCACTGTGTTAATGAAGTACAGTACGTAAATTTCAATTTTCATTGTTCGCATTTATTTTTGTGTGTACCGGTATAAGTAAATTCACGTTGGAGAAGGGCTTACTGATTAAGATGAGTGAATTATATAGGAATAGAATATGAATCATATTAAGATACTGAACTGTTCAAAACTACGTTTGTTGTGTAACCAGGGAGAAGAGGTGGCGGAGGGAAAAAGGGAGGAGAGGACAACCCATCACCCCCCACTCGGCAGCCCTCGCTCCCTTGTATACAATTCACCACAATTCCCATATTATTTAGGTTCATTTGGTGCTGGGTTTATAAAAAAATATAAAAAAATAATTAACTTCCCCAAAAATATCCCACACTCAACCCCAGGTGAGCTCTTGTGCTGTAGTATATTCTCAGTCATGTTTACAGAGCAGTAACAGCTGATCAGTCCCGCTGACTCGCTCTACGTAATAATGTCACAAACAATAACCATTTCTCAAGCACTGTTGTTGTCACTGATCATGAAGGTTGGTGCTTACCACAGGATCAGTACTGAGCACTTTGTAAATAATATTATAGCATATTTATCAGAACTTTATAAATAATATTGTAGTGTATAATGCATCTTCATATGCCCTGGTTTATTCACTGATCAGTTGTCAAAGTGCAAAAGTAGCCAAATTAAGCCATCATGTATCAAATGATAAAAAAAAAAAAAAAAATAGAAATTAAAATGTTACAAGACAATGGTTTAGTAGTTCTGTACTGTTAATGTGTTTGTTGTGTAAGTGCCTTGTCACATCACCTCACCCCTTGCAGTGTCACCTCACCTCGCAGTGTTACATTTATGTATTACAGTACTGTATTATTTACTTTATTAACCCTTAAGCCCCGGGTTATGGTGCTGGTGGCAGTACCCCCCTCCACCCGGGGTTAAATCGAGAAAAATCAAATTTTCAAAAAATAATTTTTAACTTTTTAAATGATAAAACAATAAAAAATAAGTAAGAAAAACTATATATTGACCCTCAAGAAACTTCTCTGGCCATGCAGAGGGAAGGAGGGGCAGAGATAAGGAGACAGTGTTGGTTTGACAGCTGACGCTCGTGGTCCCTCTGCACTTATCGGCTATTTTTAGCTTGCCTTTGTGTCCGAAGTGGCCAATAATGTATGTATTTACTAATCTTAATATTTATTTGCTATAAATAATTCATTTAGAGCATTTTATTTGCATAATTTTTCATAAAAAAGTGCTTTTCAACAATCCCAGTGGGTTGCCAGTCTGCCTGGCTGTCTTTGTATCTGGTACAGCAAGTAATGCATAAAATAATAATAATTCCACAAATAAAAGCATTTATAACAATCATAGCATTGTTTTACAGTAATACTACACTACAATGCAACTACACAACTTTTATCAATATTACTTTTATACAACATGATAAAACAGACAAGCAATGAAAATGAAACAAACAAAAATAGGTAATTATGTTCAGGGAGCTTCCCTGTGGCTGAGCATGTGGAGTGAGAGGCAAATAGTCACACTGGAACCTGATAACCCACGCTGGGCATTAAACAGTGGCTGGAATAGGCGCGTGTTCTGGAACGTCACCCGGGGCGCGCTGGTAAGACGTTCTGGAATGTCACTCGGGGCCTAAGGGTTAATACTTTATGTACATTTAGAAAATATTTGTTTACACAGTAATTATAGATTATTTTATGTGGCAGCTAAGGCAAAGCACAAAAATTGACCAGAAAACGAATGAATACTCTAACACAATAATTAAAAAATAATAGAATACAATAAACCGTTCCAATTCGCGGGTTTATGATTCACGATTTCAACGATTCACGGTAATCAGCTGGTGGCTCGGGTGACTAGCATGCAAGCCTTCTCCCTCAGCACAACGAGTCATCCCACACCCCCGCGGCGTCTCATCCCGCTCTGTTTGCCCTCACCCAGTACCCGTGACCTAGCATCCCGTGTCATACAGTCATTTCTGCTATAGCGCGTGTTTTGTCAAAGTGAATTGGCTATAACACGATTGATGAATAGAAGAACGACATTTGTGAAACGCGAACACGTGTTGGCTGTAACACGATTCCACTCGGACGTTTTAAGTGTACTGTCGCTTGGCGCGGGGTTATGCAGTGTTTACAGTTCATGTTCGACATCACGTGTTCAATTGATTCATGTGTTTTGTTTGTGAAGTGAACCACAGCCATCCACTTCTGGAATTAGACATTTTTTTCGTCCCAACCAAGCAACAAAAACTGCACCTGATGATGACGATGACAACTCTCAACTCCTGTCTGCTGACTCCTCAACCTCAAAATCACCCTTCTCCCCCATCAAGTTATATTCATATTTTTTCAAGGTAAAGTGTTACATTTATTGTACAGTAAACCCTCGCTTTACGCAGTTTCACTTTATGCGTTTCCACGTTTACGCGGTCCCCTTCCGAACACGGAATGCTCACTTTACGCGGTGTGTGTACCCTTTTACCCTGGCGGTCCTCTCGCGCCGCGCCATTTTTGGATCCAAACCTCCCGCCATCTCTCCCGCCATGTTGGGTAGGCAGTGCGAGTAGGTTGCGCAGAGTATGTCTTTGTTGCGTTATCGGTGAAGTCATATGACGTATCGGACTGTGGTTGGGCCAAGCATCCTTACCTCCCTCCCCGCTAGCTGTGATTGGTTTAATGTACTATGACGTGCCCCGCCGCGGGAGCGTTCAAGCCCCCTTGACCTACCCGCGTCAATTACACCCCTCCCGACTACATCGTGTATATCGGTATCCATTGTTCCATAAGAATGGCTTCCACCGGACCACCACCACCACCACAAACAAACCTTGCATTACCTGGACCCAGCCGCCCTAAGCCAAAGAGGATACGACATTCCTTAAGCTACGAAATTAAGTACAAGATCATACAAGAGTTGGAAAAAGGAACAAGACAGGTTGATCTCGCGCGCCAGCATGGTGTTAACGAATCAACTATCAGGACAATTAAGAAGGATGCAGCCAAACTCTACAGGTGCTTCTATGATCAAGTACTGCCACAACCAGGTGCTTCTCAAGACGGAAAAATTACTTGTGAGCTACTTGGTTCGTCAGGCGCGACGGAACATGGCGGTGGACACGAGCTCAGTTAAGGAGTACGCACGTGAACTGTATGCTGCAGTGTCACGTAAGATGGGAATTGCAGAGCCCAAACCCTTTAATGCTTCCTCTGGGTGGTTGCAGAGGTTTAAGAAGAGGAACAAGATCACCAATATTAACATTGGTGGTGAAGAAGCTAGTGCTGACCGTGTTGCGGCTAGGGAATTTCCTCCGTTTTTATGTGAGATTATGGAGGAAGGACAATACACCGACGACCAGGTGTTGAACATGGACAAATCTGGTCTTTTTTGGAAAAAGCTACCTTCCAAGACCTTCGTTGTGAAGAATGCCAGCAAGTGTCAGGGCCGGAAGTTGCAGAAGGAGCGCATCACCGTTCTGTTTCCTGTTTACTACCAATGCCTCCGGTACCTGTAAGCTCAAGTTATCGGTGATCCACACAGCACTTAAGCTGCCTTCAAGAACATGGACATGACCAAGCTAAATGTCCACTGGCTGACCACACGTAAGGCGTGGATGTTCTCTACTCTGTCCCTCTCCTGGTTTGATGTCTGTTTCGTTCCTGACGTTAAGAAATTCTGTGAGCAACACAATGTTCCATTCAAGATTTTGTTGCTGCTTGACAAAGCACCAGGACACTCGCCCTTACTGTTAGATCGTCACCCCAACGTAAAAGTGGTCTTCCTTCCTCCCAACACTACGTCTATAATACAGCCCATGGACCAAGAATTGATCTGTAATGTGAAAGCTGCATTCTCTGCCAAGAAATTTAAGCTCCTGAACGACTACACCAACACCAAGGAAGAGTTGCATAACCTGAGTGACACCGATAAGAAGAGCGAAGACGACGAGGAACAACAGTTGGCAGAGCAAGAAGTACTTGTGAAACAATTTTGGAGAACATTCAACGTCAAGAAAGCTGTGGACTTCTTGGTGGAGGCATGGGATCAGCTGCCTACAGCAACTGTTCGTCATGCATGG